CAAACTAATAGAATGGGCAAATTTCTTGTTGCACACAGTACATTCAAAAGGCCTCTCACCTGTGTGCGTTCGAAAATGTACGCGGAGATTCGACCGATACGAAAATTTCTTGTTGCACACAGTACACTCAGAAGGCTTCTCTCCAGTGTGCGTTCGGAGATGTTTACGCAGACTGTCACCCACCGAAAATTTCTTGTTGCACACAGTGCAATTAAAAGGCTTCTCACCAGTGTGCGTTCGCAGATGTTTACGCAGACTGCTGCTCTCCGAAAATTTCTTGTTGCACACAGTACACTCAAAAGGCTTCTCTCCAGTGTGTGTTCGGAGATGTCTGCGCAGCTTATTACTCTCTGAAAATTTCTTGTTGCACAGAGTACACTCAAAAGGCCTCTCTCCAGTGTGCGTTCTAAGATGTGTGCGTAGACTGTTGCTCACCGAAAATTTCTTGTTGCACACAGTACACTTATAAGGCTTCTCTCCAGTGTGCGTTCGGAGATGTCTGCGCAGCTTACTACTCTCTGAAAATTTCTTGCTGCACACAGTACACTCAAAAGACCTTTCTCCAGTGTGCGTTCGAAGATGTAAGCGCAGACTGCCGCTGTCCGAAAATTTCTTGTTGCACACAGTACACTCAAAAGGCTTCTCTCCAGTGTGCGTTCGGAGATGTCTGCGCAGCCTACTACTCTCTGAAAATTTCTTGCTGCACACAGTACACTCAAAAGACCTTTCTCCAGTGTGCGTACGAAGATGTGAGCGCAGAGTGCCGCTCTCCGAAAATTTCTTGTTGCACACAGTACACTCAAAAGGCTTCTCACCAGTGTGCAACCGAAGATGTTTATAAAGGTTAAAACTTTGAGAAAATGTCTTGCTGCATACAGTACACTCAAAAGGTTTTTCTCCAGTGTGTTTTCTCATGTGGTTTTTAAGTACGGTCGAGGAAATAGCTTCGTAATAGCAAACGTCGCATCGGAGAGGCATGGTTGTTTCTGCAAAAGAAAGAAAAGTCTTTATTTTCACATGTACGATATAACACCAGAGTAATACTTTTGGGTTCGCAGGAGAGGGAGGGTGGGAGGAATCAACTTGGGCATTCTGCGGCATTCATCTTAAAAAATCTGGAGCGCATTCAAATACACACCCAGCTCAATCGTTTTCACCTCTCCAGTACACTTCACTGTGTAATTTAGTTTTGAGTTTGA